CGCTACCAGTAACAAGTGCCTTACTAGTAGTAACAAGAAGCTAGTAGCTGCGTAGCACTGTCAAACTGCATGGTTTGAGGATCCTCGCATTGCCGACATTGCCGCTGACACCCAATGGCAAGATCGACAAACCGCGTTTGCTGGCCGAAACCTGCGCTAAGGTGCCGCTTATTAAAGACAAACACGACTGCAGACCGAAACAAGACAATTCATCGAAAGAGTTGCAAATTGTTGTACAGGGTGGCACCTGCTTGAATATGAGAAGCAGTTTTTGAACAGATGCACTGCATGTTTACACTGTTTGGGGCGTGTTTTTGTCATTCCGTCAGGCAGTGGACAACGACCAGGACCTGAACATATTTGTTGCCCCAGAGTCCTCACTTGAGCGCGCGCTGGCGGCCTGAAAACTCAGTCCGCGCGCGTAGGGGCCGACGGCCAAAGGAGTAACTTAGTCGACGGCCAAGTCCGGTGCGCATCGCACATGGAACTGCGTCGAGGCAGCAGCTGCAGAGGCACTAGGCTTGGAGAAGATGGGAGTGACCACGGACCTGCGCACTGCATGGCACTGAGGGTGTTGCTTTGGAGTAGAAAGGGGAATAGAAAACTGATATCCGCCCTGAGGCAGGCATGACCTTCTTGAAAGCTGTCCTTTTGTCTCAAAAGCTGCGCGAGATGGGTCAGCGGCTTTGTGGGTGGCGCTGTCGTTTGGCACACTGCATAGTGCGAACGGTTCGAGAACGACGTGCTAAGCCGAAGTAGTGGTGGAGTGGCAGCAGCAGTGTCGTATAAAGGGAGTAGCAGTGTCGTTGTCGTCGCAGTGTTAGTGCTAGAGGTATAAATATATATATATATATTGGTAGTAGTAGTAGTAGTAGTAGGTGTTGTCGTTGTTGGTGGTGGTGTAAGACTTCCAAACTGTAAGAAACAAAACACAAGATAAGGGGTAGGGCAGAGTGTTTAGGGGGACCAGCCCTTGTGGGGGCTACTCTGCAACTTCAAGAATCTCTACTCAGCAATTTGCAGGAAGTTCTCAACAAATAGCCAACCGGTCATGCCACGGCAAAGAAGCCAGCCAGACATTTGGCCTCCCCTTCCTACTTGGACCCTGTCAGCAACCACATTAGCACGTCGTGCTCACGTACATTGCCAGCTGTATTGCCCAGACGGCCACATCACAGCAAGTGTGGTTCCTCCGTATTGTAATTGTAATTTCTAGCGAAGGAATCTACTAGGAGCTTCTTGTTACTACTAGTAAGGCACCTGTTACTAGAAGCGTGGCACTTGTTACTACTAGCGATGCACCTGTTACTAGTAAACGTGGTTGATGCTGTATACGCCATGCAGCCATGCAGCATGGGTGGCATGTCGTGGAATCATATCGCTTTAAACGTGTTCCGAGCTACGACAGCTACGACAGCGACGAGCTTTTGTTCCAATTCTTTGCTTTGAAATTGCCCACAGCAAGATTTGGGCAGGGTCGTGGAATCAAACTGAGATTGGCTGTAGAAGAAGCAGTTGGGAATGGCAGCATGAGTAATAGATCACCCCTAGGAGCAAGGATGCTACTAGGAGCTCCACCCCTAGTCTCCTTTAAAACTTGACGTGGCCCCTTTGAAATTTGACTTGCTTGGCTGGTTCGGATTAAGTGGGGTTTCTAACACACGCAAGCATATTCATGGATTCATGGATTAAATTTGGATGAATTTTGGAGGCTGTTTTGGCTCGGGTTAACTAGGGGGGGTTTATTAATAATGAATGTTTGCTTTACATTATGTTCCAACCGCAATTCTTCCAAAGTCAACTCTACACCGACCCACCTTGAGAAACGCGGCCCCGCCCTCAACAGCCCATTCAAACCTGAGCATAAGTGGCCGCGTGCGCAACAGTGCCAAGAGTAGAACTCTTTGAGTGGACCTACTAGCTAGAAGCGCAGCTAGAAGCTACTAGTTACACTACTAGTTACTAGGTTGGAGGCGTTGACCCCGAAATGTTTGACGAAACAGCCTCAACAGCTCAGGGGTTTGCTCTGGCAGGAGCGCTTGCAAGATTCTTGGAATCATGTCTAATGTTTTCTAATGTTCTTTAATTTGTTTTTGTTTGTTGACTGTTTTGATGAACCTTCATGAGCCTACCTCTGATGAGCCTACCTGTTCTCACAAAAGAAAGAAGCATTGAGACTCATTGAGGGGCCCGTACCCCATACAGTGTGTATGAGATGATGTCCTAGTGTCTAGCAGGTTACAGCGCACGCATCCTGCAGTTCTGCTGCGCTGGTTTTGAACATTCGGTTGAGCAAACATGGAATTGAGGCGTCCAAGAGTGGGAGCCACACTGACAACGAAAGGGCTTCAAATTCCATCCGTTACTTGTTGCATCCGGGTGCCCAGGCGACGTTTGATGTGTGTTTCATGATGTGTGGTCTGTGTGGTAATGTTTGAACTTGTGATGTGGTGTGTTTCTGTGTGGTGTAGTGAACGTGATTTGTGATGTGACACAATGTTGTGGCGATTAGTGGGGTGAATCACCTTCGAAACTTGGCTGTTCGATCATCTTCGCCCGACGGGGATGCCTTGTCCGGACGACTTTGTATGGCCTCGTTGCGACACTCTTCGGACGGTTCTTCCGAAGGAGGCCAGAACGAAAACAGACTCTTTGGAGAAGACCCTGAACATGCCTTCAAGAAGCCTTCCCAAGAGTTTCTCCTCATGTTTCGCAGCTGGGTGCACTCCCCATGCAAGAGACGCGCTTCTTTTACAAGAAAGTTACCATGGCGAGCCAGCTTGCAATTGATGATATACCATATATGTTCACCACGTGTTGTCATCTCTTCCAAGTTGGTCTGCAGGTTTGGATGTGTTTTTGTGCTTCTTGCTCCTAGTAGCGAACCTTGTTACTAGTAGTAAGGCCAGGAGCCCCTAATAGCTTCTTGTTCCTGCTATCTCGTGCCGTTTGATGTTGGATGAGGCCTGACGATTCCACTCCGTGGGCTTTATGAATTGCAAACGGTTAGGGCCATTGCTGAGCATCTCGCGACGCAGGACTGTGTATCGGTTCTTTTTCAGCGTGTTTGTGTCGGGTGTGGAGATGGTGTCGAGTGTCTTGCACGGAATGATATCACAGTCATTACGTGTCTTTTTTTTGTTTTTGTTTACTTATGCTTAAGTAATGTGTCTTGCAGTAATGTGTCTTTACTTATGTGTCTTGTGTGTAAAGTGTCTTGTGTGTATCTTGTTCGACGTACGGAGCACGTCTTGTCTGAGTCGAGGACACAGCTGCCCCCTCCATTCAGGTGAGTATCCGAGAGGATAAACGGAATTCTAATTAAATTCATATTGTTTCTAATGG